ATGGTCATTTCAAAATACTTAAGCAGCTTAGCAATTCACCTTGTGAGGCTAGATATGTATATACTGAGGAAAATTACTACAAGGTAATCTTCATTTTTGATTTGTTTGTTTCAGTTATGTATGCAACTCAACATTTTGTTTTCCCTGTTGATCTTTAAGTATACAAATAAATATTTTTTATCATATTTACCTTTGTAATGTGTATTCTAAAAATCACAACTTTCTTTGATTTACAAAAAAGTCAATTAATTAGCAATAAAACACAGGTGTTCTTAAGTTGGGTCAGCTTGGGTAATAAAAGTAGTTATCTAATACTGCTTGACCAATCAAAGTGTTAATTCTAGTAAAAACATCTAAGAATTTGCAGTTTAATTGAAACTTATATCAATATGGTCAGCTGCATATATCGGTTTTCTATTGAATCCCTCTAACAATCGTTATGTTAACAACAGCACAGATATTTACTTGTATATAAAAGATAAAAAGCAGATGATCAGATAAACCATTTCAAGCATCTATATAAGGACATGTAACCAAATTTTGTCTGAACTCTTAAACTACCTTTAAAATGTAATGATGATTAAACGCAATTAGAAAGTGTATAAAATGAGCATTGATTTTAGAATATAATGTCCTGTGAAAAACAAAGAAAACATTTCTTTCTCGAACATTTAACAAAGAATTTATAAGAAGAAAAATTAAAAAAAAATTTAATGTAATCTAGAGTAATCACAAGTAATCATGATTACATGATGGAAAAGTAATCAGATGTAATTGATTACTTTAAAAAATGTCTGTAATCAGCTTGTAATCGATTACTTTTAATATCCAAAGTAATTATAATTTAATCGATTACTTTTGAAAGTAATCGACACCATCCAGTTAAAAATGCAGATCTAGCTTCAGGCATATTCACAAAGCTTCCTTAGGGCTACGAAAATTTGTAGGAAATGATATCTTTATATTTTCCTAGCTTATCCAGAGCGCCGGTATTTGGGTTTGGCTTATTTACTCATAATGAAATTATGAGAATGACAAAAAAATTATACCTGTTTAGTTTTTTTTTTGAGAGTTCCGTGGAGTTAAAAATCCTATTTAAAAATGGTGTTTTAAAAATTGAACCAACTCAGTGTTTTATAAATGAGTTGGAGCCCTGTCATATCATTTTTAATTCTTTTTTTTAAATTGGGCTTAAAAAAATTTTGAAATTGCTTTTGACATATTAAATATTAAAATCCTTTTCGTGAAAGATTACGTTATACATGTATTTAAAAGTGAAACATCATTTTTAATACGATGTATCTTTCTTTTGAATGAAGAAGTCGAAAAACAATTTTTTGAAAGTTTATTCCTCGGTATTATTTACATGTTGTAATACGTTTCTTATATATCTATATTTTTGAAAAAAAAATGAAAGATTTACACATTAAAAATATGTTTACAAATGTACATATATCGAAGTCATAATGAAGATGGATAAATTTCTTTACATGTAAAATTAATGTATATGCATCGAGACTATATTTCATCTCCAAATAATTGCTTTATTTAACATGTATAGATAAATGTGATAAGTAAATATTTTACATGATTGTATAGATAAAAAAGATAAATGTGTTGGAAACTTGGGTATTCTTGATACGAGCTCGAGGTTAGGATGTCCTAACTCTACTTGTTCCAAGGACACCATTATGCTAGATGCCTGATAGTGTCATAAATAGAATGAATGAAATAAAAATCACAGAGACAGCCGCCATAAGCTCTGTCTTGATTGGGTAAACGGAGTTATTCGTAGACAATTAAGTAGGAAAATAGTGGCCTAACAATTTAGATTAAATATGTCAGTTTACATTTCGATCTTATGACAGGTTGTAATTTCAAATTGTATCGACTATATAATTTGCAAAATGAATACTTTAAAGGAGATTGTTGTAACATCATTTTTTGTCAGTAACCTGCCTCAGTTTTGAAATATTCGTACTCGGAACATGTTTTTGCGTATCGAATCAACTAGTGTACGTACACCATATGCAGGTGATAAAAGGGTATTGCTACATAAACTAGAGTGTTCCAAGGAACGCATACGTCGCCCGCTTTGTAGTTTCATTAAAGATGTAAATGATAGTTCATGCATTTGCCTGCAAAGAAAAAATGGCATCCATGGATAGCTAGTATAAGATTGTGATAGAATCTGACAATTAAAGAAAATATTGTTCCCTAACCCACAAATAAATAAATGAAAGTAAAAGAAATAGTAATTTATTATTTTATTAATGCGTGTTTCCAACAATCATCCAAAAGAGTTTACTGCAATTGTCAGTCCAGATACACGATCCATTGTGGAATGACGATCCCGATGTATTTTCGTGATAGTATTTAAATATGTTTGTGTGGTAACTGAATATCGTACAGTTTCAAAGTATAGTACCATGAGCTCATAAACATGTATAAATGCTAATTATCAAAATCCTGCCTCACAAAATTCAAAATTCATAACTAAAGTTAAAAACTGCCCGGGGAATTTTTTGCAAAGTAGATCAAAGGTCAAGGTCAAATGGATTGTAATGCTGGTATTTTTTAAGGTATCTTAAATAAATAAATGATAAACATTTCATACTATATGTTTTATATAAAGCGATATTCAATTAACTGTTAATACCATAAATGTAAAACGAGTATGTATTAATAACAATACCAATATTTACATTTGGCCTTAGTTTCCCTTTGTGTCTTCAAGTAGATCAGACTTATCTTGTATCTTACAAAGTTTATTTCACCAGAATGAACTTTGTGAAAAGAAAGAAAAATTAAGTTGAAAAATATAGTTTGTATCTTAATTGGCAGTCACGGTACACATGTATTGATGTCACTTGTTTTGTGGCTTTCTTTGAAACCTAATGATTTCTTTTAATATTGTTTTTTCTGGCTCTCTTCAATTGATTTTATAACTGTCTTTTCAAGAAGTTTTCTATTAAAACAATTATTTAGTTTGTCTATCAATCACCATTGAATAAACATTAACAAAAATGGCAAGATATAAGGTCTTAATTTCAAGACTGTAAAATTATAAATAAGAAATAACCTCTCAGTGATCTTGACTTGTTTCAGATTCAATAATATAAACAGATTAAATTGAAATATAATTGAAAGTAATGGTCATTACCTACATTTTTTGAAAGTAATGCATTACATTACAATTACTTGTAATTGAAAGATGTACATTCCATTACTTTGAAAAAATGTAATGATTACACTGCAATACCATTACACATTACCATTATCCCAGGTCTGATTATTACCCTGAAAATGTCCAAGAAAAGTCATATTTCCGTTATTTGTAGTCTCACTGCATCTTTGAGATTAGTCCGAAATATCTGACGATTTCCAGGCTTTTTCCACGATTTTGATATTTTACATGTACGTGCCAGGAAAACGTCAGAATCGGCGCCATTACGAAAACTGGAAATTTCACCGTTTCCAGCCAGAGCTGATTTTCGATACTTGCGAACTGAATTAAATGCCGAACTTACAATTTATCAGTAGCACAATACTTCTAGTACTCACCAATATCGATGAAAAGAAAACATCACTCCACATTTCGATATAGGTCTTGCAAGATTTTAAAATGCACGAAATGAAAAGAAAACTACCGGTAGACTGTCTGATAAAATGTTTTCACCAGACTGTATATTTCATAAACAAACCATAAAAACGATGTTGGTGAGTACTAAAGGCATTGTACTATTAACAAGTTGTGAATTCAGCATTTAATTCGGTTCGCAAGTATCGAAAATCAACCCGAGAATGCCGCCTCCAGTTGAAGGCGGCGAATTTCCAGTTTTCGTAATGGCGCCGGTTCTGACGTTTTCCTGGCACGTAAAATATCAAAATCGTGAAAAAAGCCTGGAAAACGTCAGATATTTCGGACTACTTTGAGATAAACATTATCAGTTTAAAAAATCCAAAAATAATAATAAATAAATAGATAAAAAAAAATGTCGGCATTAAAATGAACAGTGGTTATTTGTCGCTTCAATTCAGTTTGTTTTTTTTTAAATGACATTCAAACTACATAAATGATATTCTTAAACAAAATATAATTAAAACACTCACCCGTGACAGCAATATTAATTTGACTTGCCAAATAATGATAGTACATGTAAATGTATGATAGTTCATCAACAATAATCCCATAATGTACGCATATTTACAAAAGCTATCCCTTTTTTGCGGAAATTGTTTTGAATTCATGTAGATTCTTCTTACACTGAGCTATGAAGTCTTTTAATCTAATTGTAAATGCATTCCAAATGAAACATCAACATGATGTTAAATGCTTTCATGATGAAAATAGTATTGAGTCTTTGTAATAACAAATGTAACATCTTCTGGATAATTCTGTCAAATTGCATTTTGCTAACAAACTACAGCATGTAACTCAATGAGTGAATATGTATTTCATACGGTGTAATAAAATTATAAACATTGTACCTGCGTTACGAAAGAGTATTTTGTTTTAAGCATAATGTTTAGTTAAACTATCTAGTGAATTGATCTTGAAATAAACAATAAAAACGTGAACATTTCCTATCATGCAATATTCTTACCAAAGCTTTACGAATCTTATGTACCTAGAGATGAAAATATTATTTTCTAAAGATGAATATTCAGTTCAGAGTAAGATAGGTTTTAAAAAAAGGTGTTTTCTCGATATATCGAGGATACTTGTACCTACCTGAAATTTTTGGAGTTATCGATCTTTCATCATTGTTGGAATACTTCTTTTCATTGGTATAATGTATTTAAAAAAAAACTATATTATAATTATCTATATAATATACATGTATGCATTTTGCTTGAAACAGTATTTGTATAAAGTCGAAGTATAAAAGACAAGAGATACACAAAAACTTAATGCATTTTTTTTTTATATTTCCCTAATCAAAGCTGACATAATGGAATAAGCAAAACTTGCATTTTCTTCTTTACTTTCAAAAAAGTTAAGTTAGGACGAAGAATGATCTCACAAGGAAAATTCCAATCCCAATAATGCACGTGAACGTTATTGTACCTGAAAGATAATTTTAAAATCAAAATTATACAGTCAATCATAATATTCTGTATAAAATTCACATACATATCTATTTATTACAAATAAAAGAGCATGTAAATTATCATTCCATCGAGTTCCAGCTGACACTGAAACATGTCAATGGATGCAATAAATTGATCGATAATAATGAAAGAAATGAAACTTGGTACCTGCAATTGGTTGATTTGAATCGTTAGCAGTGGCTGTGGTAGTCTGAGTAGACTTTATGCTATTTGTAACATTGGAAGTATATATGCTTGTAGTTACCGATGTTGCCCGTTCTACAAAATAATAATAGACATCTAATATTGAAATTTATGCAATATTCATCATGTAACTGATAAATAAATAAATAAATAAAATTAAAAAAAAACAAACAAGAGGCCCATGTACCACATCGCTCACCTGAGCACAGTGGCTAGGAAAAAAGCAGAAATTAGTTCAGTATTAAAAAGTATAAACGCATAAATGGTCCCGACCTACCCCTAAAAAAAAGGGGGGGCTGATTTAAACAAACTTGAATCTACACTAAGGATGCTTATACATTTCTTTGCAGAATTGTGTTTTTTTCCTATAAGTTTGAACTTTCATTATGGTCCCATCCTATCCCCGAGGGTCATGATTTGAACAAATCTGAATCTACACTACCTGAGGATGCTTCCATATGACTAATCATGGCTTTGCTTTTCTTGAGAAGAAGATTTTAAAAAAAATCCCTATGTATTCCTATGTATAACTTTGCTCGTCCATTGTGGCCCCACCCTACCCCCGGGGGTCATGATTTGAACAAACTGGAATCTACACTACCTGAGGATGCTTCCAAATAGACAATGGCCAATCATGACTTTGCTGTTAATGAGAAAAAAGATTTTTCCTATATACTCCTATGTAAAACTGTGGCCCCACCCTACCCACCAGGGGTAATGATTTGAACAAACTTGAATCTACACTACCTGAGGATGATTCCACATAAGTTTCATCTTTCCTGGACTAGTGGTTCACTAGAAGAAGATTTTAAAAGATGTGGTCACAAACCTTACCTTAATGCTAACTTTTGACAAGGTAACTATGTTGAAGAAAAATTACGCAGAAATATCCCACAATACCAAAATATAACAAGCAAATTCAAAGAATTTTGGTCCCCCGCTTTCGGTGTCTTAGTGGATGGGATGCCATTATTTATGGCATATTGCAACTGTCTTGTTTATCCTGTCTTGTCTGTGCATCATACAAAAAAGACATAAATTATTGAATTAGTAACACTTATGACAAAGATTATAGCTTCTTAAAACTATATCAAACTTCAAGATCAAGGTCATAGGTCAAATATTAATACAATCCGAAAGGTCTTGTCACAATTAATGCACATATGCAGACCTGGGGTAATGTAATGCATTTTAATCATTACATTTTTTCAAAGTAATGGGGTGTAATGTGTAATGGATCCATCTTTCAATTACAAGTAATTGTAATGTAACGCATTACTTTTTAAAAAAATGTCAGTAATGACCATTACTTTTCATTTACATTTCAATTACATTTTGTTTATTATTGAATCTGAAACAAATAAAGGTCACTGAGAGGTTATTTTTTAAAGTCTTAAAAATATAATCCCATATCTTACCATTTAAAAAAATGTTTATACAATGTTGATTGATAAACATACAAAATAATTGTTTTAATAGAAAACTTCTTGAGAGGACAGTAATAAAATCAATTGAAGAGAGCCAGAAAAAAAAATATTAAAAGAAATCATTAGGTTTCAAAGAGAGCCACAAAACAAATGACATTAATACATGTATACTGAGACTTCCAATTAAAATACAAACTATATTTTTCAACTTATTTTTCACAAAGTTCATTCTGGTAAAATGAAATTGGTAAGCATGATACAAAATCAGTATGATCTACTTGAAGACAAAGGGAAACTAAGGCCAAATATAAATATTGAGATATTGTCCATCATTCATTTTTGGTAGCTTAATTAAGAGTCACCTCAAAATTCAAACCCTATATCTAGGTACCGGTAATTATCACATATGGTTGTGTAAAATTTATTGATTATGCCTGCTCAGCTAATTGCAAGTGCTAATTAATTCATTAAATTATCAATACATACTCGTTTTACAATTATAGCATTATCTATTAATTAAATATCCCTGTATATAAAACATATAGTGTGAAATGTTTTTCATTTATTTAAAAAAAACCCAGAGGAAGTAACATCAGAGACTGAACAAAACTACAACATTGAAAGTGTTCCGATCCACTTTCTTTGTCAACTGTAGATTGGTAAACCACATGATAAATGATTCCGAAATATCAAGTACCACTCTGACTTACAGACCTGAGGGAAAGCATATTGACCAAGCACAAAGTGTGAGAAAGTTAATTTATTGATATAAATTGTGTGGTCATAAAAATTGTATTTTTCTCTTATAAAATGTAATGTGCAATGTAATTCATTACTTTAACATGAAATATGTGGAGATAACGAACAGTTTTCGAGCTCAAAAGTTCATTAAACATTACAAAATAAGAGCAGAGCAAACACGAACCTCTATAAGTTCAGAGGTGGGATCAGGTGCCATGGAGGAGTGAGCATCCCCTGCCGACCGGTCACACCCGCCGTGTGCTTCTTGTCATGATCGGGAAATAACGGAAAAATCGATCGACAATTCAGTGTGTAAATAATGGCCTAACAAATAGTATGAGAAAAGTCAGTCAGCATTTGACTTAATGATAGATTTTATTTGCTGAGAAGGTCATTGTATCGACCATAGAACTTACGAAATGATGACTTTAAACGAGACTGTTGATATTCTTGTTCCATCAACTTGTTTGTCAATAACTTACCTCGTTTTAGAAATTGTTCATATGTAGAGCATGCTCTGGCTTATCGAATCAACTGAGAGATATTAACCCCGTATGCAGGTGATAAGGGTATATTGCTGCATGAGTAAAGGAAGTTGACGATTGAAAATTTAAAGTCATCACGTTTATCAGAGTAATTGTAATTTAATTAATTACTTATCTGAATGAGAGTAATGGTAATGGTAATTTCTATGGTAAAAATTCCAAAGTAATTGTAATTTAATGCATTACATTGCAAATTAATTTCCCCAGGTTTGTACATATGGGAAAAAATATAAAAAACCAGAGTGTACAATCGGAAAGGTCTTGAAACAGTTAATGCACATTTCAAATGTAAGTGCCGTATCTTTTCTAAATCAAAAGTTATCATCAATGTTAATATTTTTGAAAATTAGGTCAAGCTCATGGGTTAAAAATCATAGTACATTTAGAAATGCTTGTCAAGGGTAATATACGTATTAAATATGAATGCCCTATCTTGGCTCCTTCAAAAGTTAGCATACTGAAAAAAATGTTTGAAAGTTGATCAATCTTGAAGGTCAGGATCACGGGGTCAAATACCGGTATCAAAGCACATTTGGAAACATTTTGACACAGATAATGCATTTGTCAAATATGAAGGCCCTATCATATAACATTCAAAAGTAATCACCAAAGTAAATTTTTTTTAAAATTAGGTCTTTTATGGAGGTCAAGGTCAAGAGGTCAAAAATCTTAGCATGCTCCGGAAAATCTTGTCACAGGTGATGCACATGTCAAATATGAAAGTCCTATCTTCTCTAAATCAAAAGTTATAAGCAAAGATAAAATTTTTGAAAAGTAGGTCAAACTTCAAGGTCACGGGATCAAAAACCATAGGATATTTAAAAAATTCTTGTCACGGGTGATGTTCATATGTAGTATGAAAGCCCTATCTTTTCTCATTTAAATTGTATGGCCAATTTAAAGTAACGTTAAAATACTTGAAAAGTAGGTCAAACTTCAAGGTCAAGGTCAAAAATCCTAGTATAATTAAAAAGGGCTTGTCACGGGTAATGCACAAGTCAAATATGAAAGCCCTATCTTTTCTCAGTCAAAAGTTATAAGAAAAGATTTAAAAAAAATGAAAAAGTAGGACAAACTTCAAACTTCACGGGGTTAAAAGTCATAGCTTATTTGGAAAGGTCTTGTCACATGTAATATACATGTGTAATATGAAAGCACTATCTCTTCTCATTTAAAAGTTATGACCAATTTAAAGTAATGTTAATTTTTTTTTTTTGAAAAGTAGGTAAAACTTCAAAGTCAAGGTCACAGGCTCAAAAATCATAGTATATTTGGATAGGTCTTGTCACAGGTAATATAATGTGAAATATGAAAGCCCTGTCTCTTCTTACTCAAATGTTATGACCAAGGTTAAAGTTTTTGTGACAGACAGACTGACAGACTTACAGCTAGACAGACGGACAGACTGACAGACGAATGAGATTTAATGTCCCCTCGCCTTCGCGAAAGCGGGGAACAATAATATGACCATGATTAGAAACTTCTGTGCTACTGTTAAAGGTTTGGTTTAATTTAATGTTTAACATGGCATAATAATACATGTACCATATGTAGGATGCATTGCTTGACTTGATTCTGTCTGGAATGTGGTAGGTTCACTTTGGAATGTAGTAGGAGAAGTGTTGGTAATGTTGCAATCCTCTGGTGTCCCACGAAACGGACAAACTAGGCGTATTACATTTTGTCCAGAAGCTGAAATGCAATGGGTTAACGTGATTTCCCTATTCACAAAGAAATAACATGTGTATTCTAAAAACAATACATGCAAGTGCAAAAAAGTAATATTTTCAGCAATGAAAAGGTAGAATTTTCAATTTATACGTTGCTGTTGTTTTTATCATAATTATGGTGTAGGAAAATATCAGTCATCAATATGCATGAATTTTGCAGAAAAAAAGACACAAGAGATTTCATACACGTGTCATTCTTAAAAACTTTATATCTATTCTAGTCACATTCACTCAAGTTGACAACTGGAAGTATTTTATTCGGGTATGTTAATTCTTACCTTTAAAAGCTATTCGGAAACGCCCAAAACCATTTCCACCACTTCTGTGAAAGTTGATAACAATTTTATGAAAATCGCTTTTGAAGAGTGGATTGATATTGTAATCATTTGAGCCATTACTTAGTGTCAAAGTCTTTCCCGATACTGTATCTGTGAACTGCAGCGTATGAGAAGAAAAGACGTAATCAACTCCATACACTGTAATTGTTTGTCCACAGTTTGTTCGTATGAGACAAGTGTATGCTTTTTTGGCCGTTGTTGTATTGGGATAAAGTGGTGATTGTAGATACATCGTTTCTCCATTCGTGTTATTTCTAGCGAAACTTTGATGACATATAAATATTCTGGAATCTAGAATAGATATATTTTTGTAAACTTTGCATTTTGTAATAAGAAGCAAAAATTATACTAAACTAAGTATATAACTACACAAAACTATAAAACAAATTTAGGACTGGTCAGAAGTGTGTTATATAATACTTACAGGATATATAATATCATTATTTGAATGGGTAATATCTAGATATTTACTGGTATGTTTTTCATATCTCTATCAACATTTTCAAGATTAAAACGAAAGTTTACCTGGTATGCAATAGTACTCTACAGAATTGTAGGTACTGATCTTCAGATACCCTTCTGGACACCCAGACATCGGAAATTGCTTTACATTGACAACTGCATTCTGCTTTCCTGATGCAGCAATTCCAATTTTTCTTCTCATTTCTTTGTAAAACATGTTCTCAGAGCTTAGTACACAGTCCTCATTTTCATTGTAAGTACAACAATCGTTGTGGTAGGTCATATTTGTTGACACGCTAAAATCTCTGACGATTTGAAGGCACCGAGATTTCTTTTTAGTCCCGATGTAAAGATTCCGCAAAACCAAACTGTTATTAGTAGAGCAATGGAGCTCTGTGGTGTTAGGGGGAACTGTTCCATAGCACTGACTATCATGTTTAATTGTGCTAGCAGGTTCTAATTCAGTCAATCCATTTGATCTAATTCTAACAATGTTAAGACCTGTGTCAGGTAAAGCAACATTTAATCAATGTATATCTAGGAAAACATGGTATGGTGATATAGAAATTGAATGTGTATCAAATGAAAACTCACATAAAAAAGTGAACATGAAAGAACAATAAAATATTTACCTATCATAAGAATAATGACAAAAAAGTTTAATGTATAAATCCGTTGCATTTTTAATCACCTAACTTTCTCACTATCTAATCATTGCTTTAAACACATACACCTGCGTAGTATTAACAAAAATATGTCTTATCAAACTTGATATCAACGAACAGCTGATTAAGTACATCACCTAAACAGAAACTGAAGGTCAGCTATAAATTCTAAATTTATGAGCCATTGTCTCCGTAAACTGGCCTTTAATTTTTGTATCACCTACTTTTACAAACTTATACATACATAAATATGTGTTTGTTTGTTTGTTTGTTGTTTAACGTCCCTCTCGAGAATTTTTCACTCATATGGAGACGCTACCACTTGCCGGTGTAGAGCTGCAAATTTTGTCCTATGCTCGGCACTTACGGCCATTGAGCAGTGAGGGGTCTTTTTCGTGCCAACACCTACTGCGACACGGGACCTCGGTTTATACGGTCTCATCCAAAGGACCGGTCTTCACGTCCCACAGTGGGATTCGAACCCGCGACGTAAGGATCAACTCCTTACCTCGCGACTCTAGAGCAGACGCTCTAACCACTGCGCCACGCGGGCGACCATAAATATGTGAGTTGCTTCTGTAATTCAAACATCATATTGGTCAAAATGTCATGACAAAGGTTAAACTCATGCACAACATCAAAAATTGTATATTCATCACTATTAAGATATAAATGAAATTCTGAGTAGAATTCAGTGAAGTGTTTATCTTTTCATTTTTCTTTAACATGGAATGTAAAATTTCCTTTAGCATTTTCTGCAGCTTATCATATTGGATTGTGTACCAATTATTGCTGTCTAATAAGAGTAGTAAGTTCTCCTGACCATGGCACTTACATTACATCAATGGCTTTTAATCAAAGCCTTTCAGCTCAATATTAATAACTTCTTCTGAGTTACTACCACCCACCTCACAAAAATCTTCAGCAGAGTTGAATTCTGATTGCTTTGAAATACTGTAGTAATCTTCATCATTGGTGTCATCTACACTCTTTTTGGACACCATGTAAGTAGGTTTTTTTACTACACAATATAATCTAAGTTTTTTTTAGAAAGTTGTCATGCAATAAAGAGTCGAGACCAAGAAAGTGTATGAATCCTGATAGTCATACAGTTTCTTGGCTTCGACTCGTACTTGGTGAGAAATTCAAAACTGTAAGTCCTCTGGCTGCGACTGCAGGGCTAGCAGCTTCTCTAGTGTATTTATGTATAGTTAGACTGTAGGCAAGTTTAACTATAAATTGCTATCATTCGGCCATACGTGTGTTTATAATGGGGTCAATTTTAGTAACTTCACTATTTTTTACAGGAACAACCCTTTTTCCATGAACTGTGAGTTTTAGAGGTCGTTCATCTGTTGAGGTATGGAAGTCCATTAAATTTATCATTTATGTTTTTAATAAGTAAAATTGGGTAACTGACGTTCATAGGAGCTGACACTTTATTAATATAAAAAGAAACACCTCCATCCTCAGACTTAAATATGTGTAAAGTTCCTTCTAAAGATTCAAGTTTATTATAATTGTGAACATTATCTCCTTCTATGGGCCTAGAAAGGGAACGCACAAAATTATTTTTCTGATGGAATTGTGTTCCTCTCTCCAATTCATTAAAGGAGCCTGGACACATTTGTATTTTTTACAATTTTAAATTTCTATTTTTATTCAAAAATTGACTTCAGTTTAATGTATTGAACTAACATGAATATTCTTAGAATTCAATGACAACGACATTCCTTATAAAATCACGACAGACATCCGTGTTTGTAGTCAGGGCACGAGCTCTGTTATTATTAATGTTTACGTTTTACCGGATGTGTTCAGTTTGTTTACTCTTGTCTGCACACATCACTGAGCACGGACTGACAATACTGGTGAGTTGGTTTTGCATTCTCACATTTCTACTCAAAATTTTCTGGATTAAAGGTTTAATATTTTTCATTAATACACAACAAAAATTCTACTTTTTAGCTCACCTGAGCCGAAGGCTCAAGTGAGCTTTTCTGATCGAAATTCGTCCGTTGTCTGTCGGCGTTGTCATCGTTGGCGTCGTCGTTGTTGTCGTAAACTTTTCACATTTTCCCCGGGGGTAGGGTGGGGCCACAATGGACGATCAAAAATTTACATAGCAATATATGTAGGAAAAATCTTCAAAAATCTTCTTCTCAAGAACAGCAAAGCTATGATTGGTCATATTTATATGGAAGCATCCTCAGGTGGTGTAGATTCAAGTTTGTTCAAATCATGACCCCCAGGGGTAGGGTGGAGCCACAATGGACGATCAAAGTTTTACGTAGGAATATATAGGAAAAATCTTCAAAATCTTCTTCTGAAGAACAGCAAAGCAATGATTGGTAATATTTATATGGAAGCATCCTCAGGTGGTGTAGATTCAAGTTTGTTCAAATCATGACTCCCAGGGGTAAGTGGGGTCACAATGGACGATCAAAGTTTAACATAGGTGTACATGTATATAGCAAAAATCTTCTTCTCAAGAACAGCAAAGCTATGATTGGTCATATTTATATGGAAGCATCCTCAGGTGATGTGGGTTCAAGTTTGTTCAAATCATGAATGAAAGTTCAAACTTGTAGAGAAAAAAGTCACAGTTTGTCAAAAAATCATGTAAGCATCCTTAGTTAGTGTAGATTTAATTTTGTTCAAATCATACCCCCCCCCCACTCCCTTTTAGGGGTAGGTTGGGACTACTTATGCATTTAAGCTTTTCAATACTAAACAGATTTTTCCTCTTTTCCTAGCCACAGTGCTCAGGTGAGCGATGTGGCCCCTAGGCCTTTTGTTTTAAGTATTAATGATAAAGTTTACTTTGTGAAAGTGCAAGGGCATGTGTAAATAAAACGCATTTTGAAATTCGTAGTTTGAATAATTTCCAAATAAAAGAAGTTTCTAAACAGGCTTTTATTATATTTCGGTATGAAGTGCTCTAGCAACATATAAAAGATATGATATTATACTGAAAATTTTAGAAAAAGTTAACTTCAAATCTGTGTCCAAGCCCCTTTAACAGCTCCTTGTAAAACTGACTCTTTTTGCCAATGATCCATTGTTAAGTTAATTTTATGAGGGATGAAATGGATAAATGAAACCTACATTTATGCCACAAAGAGTTTTGAGATAAAGGTAACGTATCTGCACACATCTGAAATATCAGTTTTTTTAATATGTAAATGAAGGTCTTAATTACGGTTATATATAATAAAAATCATCCCAGTCAAAAAAGGTAATTATAATTAATAAACTGTAAAATATTTTTTTTACTTCCATTGAAAAAGTACTGAAAAATAAAACGGGGTATTGTTAATGCAACATGGGGGCGAAATGACCCGAGACGAACGGAGTTGGGTACGAATTAACTCTTCATCTAAATGTATTGCCCTTCACCGTGTTGGTATTTAAAACAAACTTAAGGATAATGATGAGGCGACTGGTCAATGGATTGCTACATGTATATAATAAGCAAGTGTCCCTAGAAGAAATGAAGAAATGACCAGTATATTGTAACAGGCAATTAATCAAGCATAGGTAATTTTGTTTTTGTTTTATTTTTTAAACAAAACAAGGAAGTTATGTCTCAGGCTATTTAAATTTCCTTAACTTGCCAAATTATGCTTAAAATTATTTATTTATTTAGTCGGGTCATTCGGTCACTTGTACAATTATAGAAGATTTTAAGTAGCCATTGCTTTCATTTCGAATACGTTCAATATGATTCAATTTTAGTTAAAATGGTTGAGCATTTGAAGTGCTTGACCTAACCATGATAACACTATAGATTTTATAAAATATCTACATTATGTTTTTTAATCTAGCAGTTTTCGGGTATTTAAACCTATCTCATCGTACCTAAAACATAGTCACTGTTTGTTAATATGTTCTAGAAAATGATACATATTAATATTTTTCTAATTACTTTAGTTATTGGCTTACCTTATTATTATAAACTTAATTTATTTAAGTGTTCTGTGAACAACACGTGGGGATTTATTAACAGAGTGTATGAGACCCTTCCTCCCCCTCCCTTTTCTTCCCAGGGGGGGGGAGTTATTCATCTATAATGGTAAACAATGCGTGCTGCTTAAGATTCCACTAAAGGCAAGTTAGCCAAATTATGTTAATTTTCCTAATTGTTGTGACGTGAAAGTTACACCCCAGGGGCCCTTTTTACAAAAGAACTTACGACTAAGACCAGAATTTAATTCTGCTGATAAATTTCTAGTTTACATAAAATAGAAAATGGTTTTAATATTTTCAAAAGCTATGTTGAAAGAAACTTTTACGCTAGCAGTTTTAAACAGAATCAGTTATTTTGCAAAATTTTACAATCAACTGAAGTTTTGGGTCTTAGTCGTAAGTTCTTTTGTAGAACAGGCCCCTGCAAAGCAAGGTTATGACGTCGACAGGAGATATTTGACTTTCCAAGTAATCTTGAAATATTCTTATTACAAATTAACATAATAAAAATATCATATAATGTACACATGTATAATAATATGTATGTATAATAATACAAATTAACTAATAACATGTAAATTGCACCTTGCAATAGCAGAATTTTCCAAAACATCTATCCTTTTTATCCACAAGTATTCTCTGTAAAAATGATATTAATTTTTATTATTTTTCTTCATTATCCCAAGCTCTTTGATTGGCTCAAAGTTCATCACATGGTCAAGTTTTTCTCAGCACATACACTTCTGTTACTATTTAAGGAGGAATTCTTCTCATATTTATTGTATTAAAAAATTAATGAAATTTTCACAGATTCAAGAAGACAATATCACCAAATGATAGTATCAATTAGATTAAAATTGAGCGTGTTATTTCAGAATCAAAGTCAGGTCAAGGTCATTGTTTTTTCCTTGACATTTAGAGTAAAAAAAAACTGTTGCCAATCATTTGATGCCTATTTCTATTTCAAACGATTAAATGTTTTTCTTTTTGCAAAAAAAAAAAAAAAAAAAAAAAAAAAAAAAGATAATACCACATATCTATCAGATGAAACTGCCAAATGGAGATAAATAATAGACTAAAATTGATATTGACTTATCCGAATTTCCTCTAATGAATATTAATTATTATTATGTGCTTTGTATATTTAAAACTTTCTTATCTTCATACATGGTGAAATACTCATATTAAGATACAAAATGATACAAATACAAAATGTTTTGACCGTTTAATAAGAGAGAAAACAAATTTTACTGACTTTTTAGCTCAAATCTGCTCTTAGATTGAAAGCTTTCAAAAGCTAACAATATTGTAGTTTGTTTGAGAAATCATATTAAGTTGATATATCTTAAAACTTTATTCCATTACTATAAATGTCACTTACTTCCAAAAATTCCTTCAAGCCTTTGATTGTTAAGAAAAGTTAACTAAATTCATCGTTCAATGATAGTGATTTTGAGAGGCAGAAAAAAAAAGATATTTTATACGCTCCTGTTCCGCCAAAAAAAAGTCCCTGCTCGATTCCAAAGAATGAGAAAGAAATAAAGAAATATGATCTTTTAAATCCCTAACATCTAATTGTAAAAAACATTCTTTGAACATTTCATTTAGTCAGAAACCAGACAAGAATCCCTCCTTGAAGATTCTGAAACGCATATCGACCTGATATTTCTAAAAATGGAAATAATATTGTATACATATATTTAAAAAAAAACCCCAGTAGTATTGACTTAACAATAGCCAATATGACGCGGTGTTTCTGAATTAAAACCCACCAGATACTTCAACTCCTATTTGTAATTGTGATGTTCTGTAATATTTGGTAAGACGTAACGATGCCTTGAACATTGATCTACTTTATATTAATACATATTTGATACTCAGTATATATTTCATCTATTGATATAAAATATAATGAAACAAATGTAGCTTTTTAATTAGAACATTCCTTAAATTACTCGATCAGTATAAAGAGAACACAATAAAACTAAACAGCTTAATTTGATCTTTTAAGTTAGTGTCTGTGTGTTGAAAAAAAGACAAGAGAGAAAACTTGTAGTTCGTTGCCATTATTTACAATTTTTGTGTTGTCAATCTCTTTAAAAAACAAGCATTCTGAAAGTATTGCATTAGCAATACTAGTCCCCTACCGGCAAGTGTAATCTGGTTCCCTTAAGAATTGAAAATGCCATAATTCCGTCAAAAATCGATGAAGCGGGGCGAAACGCAAACTTATTCTATAACTAATCAAGGTAAAGTCACATACCAAAAATCAGCTCAATATCTGAAAGCGTTTAGAAGAAAATTGTGAAAAACCCCTAAAAATTGAAAAGGCCGTAATTCCGTCAAAAATCAATGAAGCGGAACGAAACGCAAACTTGATCTGTAACTGATCAAGATACACTAACATACCAAAAATCAGCTCAATATCTGCAAGCGTTTAGGAAAAAAGTGTGGAAAACCAAGTGGGACAGACTGACAGACAGACAGACAGACAGAGGGACAGACAGAGGGACAGACAGACGGACGGACAGACTCAGAGGAAACCTATATAACACATGTAGCTCTTGAAGCCAAATTCACCATTTTAGGCAAATCATGTTCACGTTTCATTTAGCAGCACTCATCCTTAAAGAATTAATTCTTATAAAGGGATAGCTTTAAAACTGTTTTCATCAACCTCATAATACATTACCTTTTTGTTTCCGTTTTGTTTAGCAACAGCCATTCTTAAAAGATAGCACTATAAATTTATAAAGGGATAAATTTACAATTGTTTTCATCAACCTGATAATATATTTTCTATATGTAACAAGTGATTGAAGAAAAGAGTTTAAGTTATTAAAGTGGTAAATAAAAATGCTTTGATTTTCTTTTTTGTAGATTTCATGTCAAAACTACCGTCATATTACATCTTGATGATTCAGCAAGGAAAATCATGCCCTGTATGAAAGGAATTTTACGAAATTTGAAACTAATATCTGTGCCTTTATTGTAGATTTAGGCACATAAACGTTAACTTCCCCGAAATTTTACTTGAGAGAACCAAGAGATGAAAAAAGTAAATAAAGTACTTAAGTGAATAAATATTTTTAAAAAATCAAGGGACAGATAGAGCCCAGAGATGTATACAGCTGTCTTACAAAGATCTGTCACACTAACAGGTGTTAGTCGAGGTCGTCACATTTCATGTGTTACGTCTAACCTAGTCTGGGCCAGTGACAGAGACAATCTCATCTTGACAGACACAGCAGGCAAAACGCGATGTCGGTTGACAGATATTTACAGTGGCGATGGAGTACACTCAGTAATGGGGGATGGGCAACTTATCTATATAGATAGGGATTACAATATCAATGTATTGTCTAGAGACAACAAAACAAAGACAACTCTGATAAGTAAATCAGAACCATGGAGACCACACTGTGTTTTCTGTTCCCCCTTCAGTGGGGATTTGCTAGTTGGGAACGGAATTTATGATACAAACAAAGGTCGCTATACAGAAGCCAAAGTAACGAAATACAGCAGCTCAGGACAAGAACTCCAAACTATCCAACATGACAAAACAGGCCAGAAACTCTATAGCGAACCCCTGTACATTACGGAAAACCGTAACAGAGATGTCATTGTGTCTGACTACTTGCAAGGTGTAGTCGTCACTGACAGTCGAGGAAATCATCGCTTTTCCTACACAGGCGCCCCATCAAAATCACGACTATGGCCACGTGGAATATGCACCGACGCACTTTCACACATACTAGTATGTGATCCATTTAATAACGCAGTGCAAATAATTGACAAAAACGGACACTTTTTGTCCCTGTTGCTGACAGAAGGGGAAGGGATAAATAGACCAAGAAGCCTTAGCTATGATGAGAAGACTCAGACTCTCTGGATTGGATCACGGGACACCAATATACTGTCTGTGTTTAAATATAGCAGCTTGGGTTACCTTTCAGGTAAAAATAACTAAATGTATCCGTATTTCTGTAGAGGTAACTTTATTCGTAAATGCAAGCATATTTTATAATGCTTTGGTGTGATAGGTAATATATTCAATGTTGAATCGCATAAATAGGTCGATTATCTTAATCGGTCAATAAAATCTTTAAAAAAAAAACCCCACACACTGTAGACCATTAATTATTTAGACTTTTATATATTATTTGTTAGAAATAGATCTTGTCTCCAGCATAAGTTTCCTGTAATTCCAAAAACCCCACCAAGACTTTAAAATGTTGTTACTCTAAATTTAGCCAAGGATAGGCTTTTCAGTAGACGTTGATGTTCCTAGAAAATTGATAAAAACTATTGACAATCCAGATGAAAAAAAAACACAATAGTTTATTTGAGTGGTGTATTACTCTTAAAAATATGTGCATGTACATCACTCGTCATCTAAATATAACCAGTATTATTTTATCTCTTGATTGTAAAAACTTAATAGATTCTTCAAAAGCTTTCGTTATCCTCGTTATATAATTAAGTCTTTAGGAAGAGATTCGTCAGAAAGGCCATTTAGTCATAGGTCCGGCCAATCCTCTTAATTATCCTGTCTGGGAAAGAAAGTTAAGTAAATTTTCCTAAATAATGCTCATATGTGAAAGATTTTGTCTTTGACTTTTGGTAAAGAGAGATTAACCTAAGTTTTAAGACTGGTAGGCATAAGAAACCCTTAAGATTCCTGTGCATTCTGAATCGTATTGAATATGTAAAAATCTCGCATATTTGTAAATTGACACTGTCATTAATTTTCTTTTAATTTTTAAGTTTTCAATTTTTTTTTATTGAATTTTTAAAAAAAATTTCTTGGAATTCTCTAATTATCATATGCCTAGATCCAAGCAATGCAGAATTAGATAAGGGTAAATATATCCACAACCTAAAGAAATTTCTAAAGAAAGGAAATACAACCATTTCCCATGCACGAGGTATTCTTGTTGGGTGCGCTGAAGCAGGGAAAACAACACTTCTGAGACGATTACGAGGACTTCCTCAGGATGATGTTGAGGATACCGAACCAACCAGGGGACTGGAAGCCCATCAGCATGTATTTACAGTTAGAAATGAAGTTCTAGAAGGTAGGAAGTACTTACGTATTAAAGCTTAAAGGTGTTCACTAGAACCAAATTGTTTGCGTCATGATTTCATTTATTAAGTATGAATAGCATTTAATTAAAAAATAAAGTTCGCGTTTTCTTGAATGTTGCAGGATAACCTCAGAGGTCGAGAAAAGGGTTTTTTTTAAATATAAAGGCCGAGAAGTTAGCAGAGACATTTATATTTCAAACAACATTTCGAGACCGAGGAGGCTATCCTGCATCATTCACAACCAGTGCCCCTAACGAAAAAATACTATAGTAAACTATAGTTAACTATAGTTTACTATAGTTAACTATAGTACCAAAGTAAAAACTTTGGAACTTTGATTTTCTATAGTGAAAACATTGGAACTTTGATTTACTATAGTAAAAACTTTGGAACTTTGATTTACTATAGTAAAAACTTTGGAACTTTGATTTACTATAGTGAAAATTCTGGAACTTTTATTTACTATGATGAAAACTTTGGAACTTTGATTTACTATAGTGAAAACTTTGATTTACTATAGTAAAAACTTTGGAAATTTGATTTACGATAGTGAAAACTTTGGAACTTTGATTAAGTACTATAAATCCCGTGGAATTATGTTTTTGATTCCCATTCTTTACATTTTATGATATTTCAAGTTTAAGATTCATAAAAGTTTAGAGAACATTTTAAACACCCGACCCTTCCCCTAAAAGAATAATGTACAAGATATGAATTTTAATGTCAAGGTTGTCGCTTGCGCCGATAAATAAGCAATATTTATTTCAATGCATTTAATTTTAATGTTATGCAGATGTAACGAAAGTCTTATTTATGGAGAAAAAATAATATATTATGAAAAAAATGTGTCATTTAGAATCAAAATATCTGCTTCATCAACTTCAATCAACATGTATTTTTTTTTTTAAATTTATAAATGTAAATATTGGATTTGAATTAACTACTTTGTATGTTTAAATAAGGATGTACAACAAAAACCACCAAAACCAATCCCATATCCACCCCTCCCCTTAAACAGCTAAATAATCCAAAGAAAAAAAAAATAATAATAATAATAAAAATACATAAGTTGTTAAACTAATGAAAAAAACTTTGAAACTCTGATTAAGTATAGGGAAAACTTTGAAACGTCAATTAACTATAGTAAAAACTTTAGAACTTTGATTTACTATAGTGAAAACTTTGGAACTTTGATTTACTATAGTGAAAACTTTGGAACTTTGATTTACTATAGTTAACTATAGTAAACTATAGTTAATTTTTTTTTAGGGACAGTAACTTTATTGCTATTCTACTAATAGTTTCAAAATACCGTAACGGCTGATCGTTTCCTCTATATAAAAACGCATTAGGTCACCATGTCGCTATTAGTCTGTTCCAGTTAACACTAGAGTGTCAACTTGTTTAACTGTTTACTTGTGTATCGATTTATTGCAATGGAATGCAGACGATTTGAGATTTCGTTGGATTAAAATTATATTTAATCATTTATATATTTTGGTAACATATATTGATTATTTTTTTATGAATGTAAACTTGCAAAATCAGCTGTCTATTTCATTGCTTTATCAGTAAAACCAGGAAGTGTACATGTTGTGGGGAGGTCCGTGGAATAGCTATATCAGCTGCTTTAGGCAATACACACTGTTTAGACTGCAGAAGACAATACAATATTGTCTAAACAAGAATGAGATTCTAAAGTCAAATAGTAATTTCACCTGTACAAGTTTGATATGGCTGTGTTTCTGATCTGATAATTTTTTGATGACGTTCGTGATTTATTGGAGAATAATGTCCGCGGCATTTTTTTTTTATCTCGGCAATAACTATAGTAGAATTCTTAATGATATAAGTCTTTAAGCACTATAAGATTTGTAAATTAATTTTTGTTTTCTCTACTAGTCCATCCTCCCACTATTTAGTATCCGCCGATGAAATATGGCTGAAATACTGCCGACTTGGCGTTAAAAAGTATACAATCTACACTGTATTTTGTATCAATGACTTTATGAGATAGCGACTTCATATTTGAGAAGGGTCAATAGTTGCAATTCAAAAATTATTTGTTGGACGTCAGAGGTCTGAATGAATTCTATAGGTAATATAGGGATATTCCACTGTATAAATCGTAATCTTGTATAAGAATAGCTGAGGATAAAAATAATATATTGGTACGAGTTGATTGTACAAATGCACGAACTTGCCAATATTCACTGATATAAGTTCAATAACTACTTTATCATATAGCTAAAACATTTTCCCATTATTTATATCAATTATTTAAATCAAATAACTCAAAGTATTCAAAGTGTTCAATATCACACTAGCAACCGTTGATTTTCTTATTGAGGATTTTATTGAGGCTTATAGATACTGAATTATTAATTCATAATTTCACTTCTGTGTGAAAATAGACAAATCTTACCAAGCTGCCACTATTGTCGTTGAACGGTTGACCCACAGGAGTCGGCAGTTTTATCCATAAAGCAACGGACATGTAAACAACAACCAGTGAGCTTCGCGAGCGAAGCGACAGGAATGCAACGCGTTTTTGTCGCTTCGCTCGCTACGCTCGCGAAGCTCACTGGTTGTTGTTAACGTTTTTTATGGAAAAAAACTGCCGACTCCTGTGGGTTGACCAGACGACATTTTTTGTTTACAACGGGGCGTTTGATATTAAACGCTCGCATTCGAAATGTTTCGGGGCATACTCGCATACGGATTGCAAATACGCTAAAATATTGAATGCTAAAATTCTCTAGACTTTAAGAAGGTTTTTTTTAAATTATTTATCAGCTATATAACAAAAATATTATTAAATCAATGAAAAATAATACAAAAACGTTTACTACATGTACATAAAGAGGAATTTTTTTCTAGTTCAATTTTTACATCGGATTCCTAAGGTCTCATCCTCGATGGATGAATTCTAAATTATTCATTCCTCGGATTCTTGTCGTTGGAAATTTAATGAAAAAGAATTCTCCCTTTAACACATAAATTTAAAGCTAAATCATCTTAATATGAAAAACTTATGCTACGAAAACTGGAAATCTACCTTTATTTTCCTGAACATTTAGCAAGTAAAGTGTTTGCCTGATGACATTGAACTTTTTTTTTTTTTTTTTTTTTTTTTTTTTTACCGATTCGCGAATTTACCAAAGTTTGAACTTTCTGTCCCCAGAGTTGAAGCTGTCTTTACTAGTCTCATGGGCCTTTTTCACATGTCTAAGTGGTCTCACTTGCATATGATAACTTTGCTTTATATGTCATTTCACTTACAGATTGATCTTAAAATTGATGAACAAAAATATTTTACTTTAAAGTTACACTTAATGACATTTTAACTTAAAAGTTGCTGAGGATTGGGCGTCGTTAAAATTTGGCTAATCTAGCATAATGCATTTGAAATCGTGTAGTTATGCACAGTAATTAACAAAATTACAATGGGTGAATTTGAAATGAAGCAAAATATTTCTTGAGTCTGGGTTAAAAAAGATTGAATGTTTCATATACGCTGTACATAATTTTACAACATATAGTTGCAATGTATTTACATGTACTCATAATATGTTTTTGTAACAAACATAGGCTCCGTGGGAACGAAATCCTGTGCTATAACGAGAGCGTAACAAGTTTCCTAAAAGAGTCTTTATAAGTTTTTGTTACATTAATTGTAGCTGGCGAGGACAAGCCAAAACATGCATTAATCAAGGTAACCATTTCCGACTTGAAACAAGACCCGAGCAGTGAAGATGATGTCCCAAACTCTGGTATAAATACAAGTGATCCGAAAAATGCCAAAACAGACGAAATGGTTTTTAAAAAGAAAGAAGAGACAAAAACTTGCAACGTACCCATTCGGAAACAAAAGGAGAAAGAAAGAGAATTTCAGCCCAGTTGCTCAGAAGCAAGTGCAACGGAAAAAGATACATTTTATCTTAAAGTATTATATGAAAAAGAGAGATTACCAACAGTTAGTATGTTTGATTTTGCTGGACAATTGGCATATTATGCCTGTCACCAGATTTATATTACACCAAATGCATTCTTTATTCTTGTGTTGGACTTGACTCAAAGGTTTGAAGATGTTGTCAGCACAGAGAAAAACAACCAAGAAGGTTCCATCTTCTCATCATGGACCTACAAAGGTATTGCATGGAAATATAACAAGTAAACAATCTATACATCCTTGAATCTATATATACAAATCATCAGTCCTATACATGAACAATCTAATTTTTTCCGTTAAGTAAAAATCCTGATTTCTACGAGACTGATCTTTCATTGCCTCAATGTCATACATGAAAAAGAAGCAAAAGAGAGTTTATTTAGGAAGAACATTTAAATGAAATATAACAAATCAGGTTGCTGTAGCAAAATAAGGATGGGCATTTCTGAAGTGAATCAACAAACCTATTTTTTTTTTCAGTACTTGTACGTGCATGATTAAGATTGATAAATAGTACCTCATGGAACTTTCTAAATATCCATATAGAGGTTAAAATAATCCCAAAGTCAAAACAACGGACAAATCACAATTAAAAATTTTCTTGAGGGGAATTTCCCATGCGTTGAATTTTAACCTGGTTTTCCATCGGAAAATAAGATTATTGAAATGGTGAAAATGGCGGACGGGCGGCTACCAAAAGGGTACATCATTTGTCGGATAACTCCTAAAGTTTTCAAGATAGGAAGTTTTTATTTTTGCAGATTAATTGTACATATATCAGAGATATGCATTGTACGTACTTTGATTTTGATTTTTGATGATGAATGAGAAAAATGTCAGTTGTTGAACAGTCATTTTTATGAAAAAAGCTTTTTATACGAAACGTCATTTATGTGGATAACTCCTCCAAGAACTTTTCAAGATAGGAAGTTTTCATTTTGCAGTTCAATTGTACATGTATCAGATATGTGCATGGTATTAGGATTTTGATTTTCAATAATGAATGTGAAAAATACCAGTTGTTGAATGGAGTCTTTTTTTCTTTTCTTTTTTTTTTTTTATATGAAAATACTTTTAAAGGGTACAACTTTGTTTGGATATCTCCTACAGTTTTCAAGATAAGAAGTTATTATTTTGCAAATCAATTGTGCATATATCAAAGATGTGCAAGGTACTTGGAATTTTATTTTTTAACATTTATGCAAAAATACCATTAAATGAATTTGGTCATTCTTATGCAAAATATGTTCAAAGGTACATTGATATTGTCGGGAAATCACTTCCAACAGTTACCAGAAGAGAAAAAGTTCAAACTTGCTATGAGAAATACCATTACTGTTCACACAAAACCCTGTCACATTGACACCTTTACCCTTGTTTTGGCATAATATGCAAGAATTTATGTTGATTGACATTTTTATTCTTTTACCTTGTAGACTATGTAAAGTTTTGGATAGCCTCCATTAAGACGTTTGGAAGTACCAAAGCTCCAGTGTTTGTAATAGCTACACACACTGAAGGAAAATCCGAAGAGGTGAGTTAATTATGCTACACGTCTTTATATCGGCTTTTTATGATTTTTTATTTAAAAGACTGGGGTATTGCTTTAGGTGACTGGTCTTACTGTCTGTCTGTTTTCTGATCATGTTTCTATTTGTACATATGCTCAATTGCGGCTATATTGTAACTTTGAAATCTGAAATAAAATCACTATATCATCTCAAAGTGAAGTCAAATAGAAAAGCTTACATGCCAGCGACAGGGAATTTTGCACATTTTTTTCAGAACACATTTTTTCTAAAGAGTCTTGTATCTATATAATCATTTGAAGCTTTGACTTCTTATATATTGATGATAGCATCCTCTAGTAGTATTGGATCGGATGCGTAGATTAGAATGCAATATATTTTTTAAGTCTTTTTTAACAAAATCTATAACACAGCAGTGGAAGATCACAATAGCAAGGTGAAATATTGTTTAAAATATGGTAAAATGTTCATATGTTTGGTACAATGGTACAATGTCATGTATTTAGTGTATCCTTAAGGTTTGTCAAATCGTGGACCTTGACTGGGGATATAACATCGTTCTTCAACTTGGGAAGGGAGCATAAGAGATGAAGCAAAAATTAGAAATGCCTGAAGAAAAATTGTGACAAGCAAAAAACACAAAAACAAAACACCCCCCCCCCCAAAAAAAAAACCCAAAAAAGAAGCAAAAAAAAAAAAAAAAATGCCCTAACTCGAAAATCTATTTTGGAGAGAAGGGGAAGGGGGGGGGGTGTGGTGCTGACTTTCAAAAGAAAATTTCCATTCTAAATAAACAGCAAAAGACTAATCCCTTAAAAATTGGCCGCCCCCTGGCTCCCTCATACTGCACGTCTGTAGAAAGGGCCACAATAGTTGAACAGTTGTACATTATGATATACATGATATAAGAATAATATATTTGCGCCCTGATCCGGAAGGCAATTAATATGCAAGCATTAAAGGGCAGGTGTGTTCTAGATAGAAGTCAATAAAAAACGAACTTTCTATACAAAGTAGGGATTTTATTAAACATTCTTTGTTGAGAGGAAACAGTATACTGGTATCTCCTTTTTGTACATTTTGATGCAAAATGATATGTTTAAAATATCTACAATCATTTATCATTGTTTTGCCTCGGACTAGAGTGATGATTTGTCATTGAATAACGGACATCTTATGCCTGCAATCTATAGTTCTGTAGACGGCGAGTGAGAAAATATAGATTGCAGCATGGCGGATAAAACGATGTAATGGCATCCACCTTTTACAGAAAAAATGCTTTTTCACTTTTTTTCTTTCTTTTTCTTTCTTTTTCTTTTTTTTTTTTTACAATAGAAAGTGATATTTCTGCGATTAGATTTAGAGTAGCATCCCTTTTCAGTGACGTATATAGTAAACAACAACATAAGTGAGGAAGATTCGTACAGATGCGAATATCTTTTCACTGTAATTGCTTTATAAGTGTTATCTGTTGTTGGTCCTCGACAAAACAAAACTCTTGCTATACCTAAAGAAAGCTCAGGTATATTTTTGTTCTAGTTATACTCCAGCTCCGAAGGAGAGGGGGTATACTGTTTTACCCTTGTGTGTCTAGCTGTATGTCCGTCTGTCTGTCTAGCTGTGTGTCTAGCTGTCCGTAACAAATTTTGGTCGCAGTTTTCTCAGCAACTACTCATTGCAGATGCTTGAAATTTTAGCACACTCTTTGTTTAGGCATGCCATATAGTGGATTCATTTTTCTACAAATCCGATGTCAACTTCCTGTTTATCCGTGTGTCTGTCCAAACCATACATAACAAATTTAGACGTACATGTAGTTTTCTCAGCAACTACTCATCGCAGATGCTTGAAATTTTAGCACAATCTTTGTTTAGGCATGCCATATGGTGGGATTCTTTTTTGTACAAATCCGATGTAAACTTCCTGTTTATCCGTGCGTCTGTCTATACCATACAAAACAAATTTTGGTCGCAGTTTTCTCAGCAACTACTCATCGCAGATGCTTGAAATTTTAACACACGCTTTGTTTAGGCATGCCATATACTGGGATTCATTTCTGTACAAACCCGATGTCAATTTCCTGATTATCACTGTGTCTGTCCGTAACTGAACTTGTGTATTCACATCAGAGCTAGGGTTTTATTAGTTAGCATTGGCTCACAGACTTCTTGTTAGTTCTGTTATTGACTATTTAGAGAAATATATCGTGTTGATCAGCCCGATATATTTCTATAGACAGTCACCAACAAGCCTAATAAGTACATGTGATAATTTTTGAGTTTGTTTGGCATTTTTTGTTTGATTTTCTTCCTAAAGGAAATTCAAAAGTACTTTGAAGAATTCTGGAAATTAGTGCCAGAGGAAGACGAAGAATGGTTCAGCAAGTCTTTGGATGATCGTGAATATGCCGTGGGTCTTCTTGAGCTAAACAGAAAGAGTCAAGAAATCTTAGAGTTAATTAAAAAGTCTTTAGTGAAAGTGGTGACACACATCATCAACACAAAAATTGAAGTACCTTCTTCTTGGGCCTTGTTAGAACAGTTATTGAAGGATGGAGAGAGGAAAGCTATGTCCCGCGGTGAAATTTGGGATATTAATACATCACTTCCTGTTGAATACCAACTCAAAAGTGAAGGGGAGGTGTCAAATTTTTTAAAGTGTTTCCATCACAACGGTCTTCTCTTATATTTTGAAGAGGAGAGATTAAGAGAGCATGTTATACTGGATATTCAGTGGTTTGCTAATGCATTTAACAAACTAATTGCTGACAAAAATCACATTAACAAAGACTGTAAAAGAAAGAATTTCAAAGAGTGGATGTCATTCAATAGAACAGGGAAACTTAAAGAAAAATTAGTAGATTCTCTGTGGAAAGACGAACCATCGTATCTGGATCACAAAACTGAACTTATGTGTTACATGGAAAAGCTTCAAATGCTTGTTCCTTTTCATTCCGTGGGAACTTTTCCAGCTGGGATGTTGTGGTATGTTCCATGTATGAATAAAAAGTCATTTAAACCAGACATTTGCAAAGAAAACTGGGAATATTCATCAATATTGTGTTTTCGATTTAATTCTTTTGCCATGTTTGTGTTCTACAGACTGATTGCTTATTGTATGGGATGCCTGAAATGGAGTGTTTCATTAGATGAAGACAAAGAAAGCAGTCAATGTCTTTTCCAGACGGCAGCGATTTTTGATCACAAAGAACATACTGTTGTTGTTGGTATATGTAATGACGATATACAGTTGCAAGTGATGCGAATAAAACCTTTGGTTATTGATACCGATATTTCAACTGAAATTGGAGATATAATTGAAACTGCTTTAAAAAAACTGACAAAAATAATTCATGAAGAAAAAAGATTTCTGAAGGGATACAAATGTCAAAACATAATATGCAATGAGGAGGATACATCTTTCACTCTCTCCAGTGAGCTTCTCAAGGTCAGGACTGGCGAAACACAATGCAAATGCTGTCGTTTTCCCGGTAGACATGCAATAAACATTCAAAGAACCCTTGGATTTTGGGAAAAGGTACATTTAACTGACAATATACAAAATTTACATATAATCTCATTACACACTCATATTTTAACTGGCCGTACTATGATATGGGCTCTTTCCTTCGTCCTTCCATCTGTCTTTGAACTCGTATGTTACATACTAGAACTGATAGGTGTAGGACAATTAAATCTTGTAAGCTTTGGGGGAAATTGCATCGCAACACCAAAGTAAGTCACTATTGCCTCATTTTTAATTTATGGCCATATACAGTCATGCTGCGCCCAAATCATATATTTAATACTGTGTACCTTGGAATTTTCTAAATGAATTTCATTTTTTTTTACCTTTTCAATAGAAATAAGTAATGAAAACTCTTTTGTGTTTTACTGTACATTTCAGAGAACTTAAGGCATGTTATAGTAATTTTATTCCATATATTACAGATGACAGGATCATAGCTTGTGACTTTGAGTACTAGTATGCATAGATAGATATACATTGCATAATTCCGGACGGCCGTATCATGTGCCCTAGCGGTGCATTTATTCTGATTCAAAATTAAGGGGCATACTGGGGTTTTCCTTACAAAACACTTTGTGCAATTTAGGGAAATAAAGCATATTTAGTTAATTTACAATTTTAAAGCTATTATTTCAACAAAATTGATCAAATCAAACAAAATGAAGAAATCACAGGTAAAAAAGAAAAATTAATTCCATCTTTATAGAATGGATCTATTAAAAAGTTTTTTTCTACTGATAGATAGAAGGACGTCGTAATAGTGTGCTTGTGACGTTACGATAAACTGAAGTTCATAATGAATGTTATGAAAGAAAAAGACTTTAGTTTAAAACATGTACTCTTTAAAATTTAAATACAGGAAATTGAGAATCTCACAATTATTATTTTTTTTGGGGGGGGGGGGTATTTTCTGCGCAATTCCTTAATATATGTCATAATAAGTCCATAAAAACAGAAAAAAATTGTAATTTTTGACATTTTAAGATGTCCGAAACCAGAATGTAGGATTCTGTGTTTCTTGTATATATTCATATTGTACAATATAATTTTTATCATCATGTCATATTGTAATTTGAGCAAAAAGTTTATTGTATGGTTTTTATAGTTTGCTTTGATGTGCGAAACAAAAACATTTCCCCGTACAATCCTAATGTGTAAATGTAACCGTGTTTTGAGATGGTCCCTGAATTACCTAGACGATAGATTTTCCTGAAACTTTGCATGTACACTGAAGTTAGTGTAGGTTACACTTAGTGTAAAATAAAAGAGTTTTTTCTATTGTATTTTTTCCCAATAAAACCAACACAGTTTATACGATATAAAGTAGTTTTTTTATCCAATCAAATGGCGCGATACAACCAAAATTATTTAATAATCGTGATCTCAGGATATAAATGTGATGATGATATTATTCATTGTGCTGTGGATGAAAGCAGCCAGAGAAAAAAAAGGCAACCCTCTTTATTGAATTGATTATTTTTTTTAATCTGTCCTTATTTTCTGAAGCGAATATATACATATATATATTTTTGGCATTTTTGAAAATTCAGAGATTGGTATTAAAGGCTGAAGGCATAAAAAGGCGGTTAAGCGACAAGGATTCACAGGTATAATGTAATATATTTTATTTGCACTTTAACAATATGTATTTAAGAGAAAAATAGTAAGCTTATGTGGTAGATTTTCCAGTTAACTTATTGATTAAAATGTCAATTCAGATATGATATAAATATCATTAAATTTTGACAATTGTTTAAAATGCAGGATATCATTATAAATATTAATTTATTCATTATATATGTTACAATAAAGTTTACTAGTGATTAAATACGGAATAACTTTCAGCTATTCCTTTACAAAGTTGCACAGAATGTACAATCATGTACTCTATCTGGCTTATGAAAATCTTTGAATAATAGTACTTACCACCGTTAAGTAATTGTTGTTTTAAAAACATCAAGACAGGAAAGAAATTACCAAAAACAGCACCGGCCTATCCCTTCTCCAAAGGAACGTTGCAGAGAGATATTCTATCAAGTCACATTAAAGTAGAGGTTAGCAGAAGTGTAGGGCTCATTCACATTGACGGACAACCAGCAGGGACAGGTTTTCGTGTGGGTCACAAATATATCATGACATGTCAGCATGTCGTACAAAGGATTATTACAGGTCAGTAGTTATGGATAATATTTATTTCATTGTGATATGAATAGAATGAAGTACATAGAATTGATGAAGCTAACCGCAGGTTTTGTTTAATCACATTTCTTTAGTATGATAGACATTTCTAAATACACACTCCTCTGCATTTGTAGTCCTTATTTTGCAGTTAGAATGAAGGCCGGGAGAAAGGGATGGTCAATTCTCTCAATTGTATTTTAAAGGATTTTTAGAAAATTCCTAACCAGGAATAAGATTTCATATAATTTTTTTTAGGTTACCTGAGTCACTCAGGTGACATATTGCTATCTGTTTTCGTCCGTCGTCGTCCGTCGTGCGTCGTCCGTCGGTCGTAAACTTTTGAACATTTTCAGCTTCTTCTCTTGAACCACTTAACCAATTTAAAACAATTTTGGCATATAGCATCAATGGTTGAAGGGGTACAAAAATTGTGAATTTCATGGTCCCTGCCCCTCTGGGGCCTGAGGGGTGGGGCTAAAACCATCAAAATTAGTGCTATCTTTAAAAATCTTCTTCTTTACTCCTGGACATCAAGCAGTCAAACTGTTGGCATGATTGTAATAAGCATTGAGCCCTCTACCAAAATTGTGAAATTCATGGCCCCAGGGTCAGGGGTTCTGGTGCTAAGGCGGGGCTATATAGATCATATAGTGAAAGTGCATTATTTCTTTGAAAATCTTCTTCTCTGCTCCTGGGTATTATTGAACCAAATTGAAAACATAGTTATGATGAGCAAGGGTGACTCTACCAAAATTGTGAAATTCATGGCCCCAGGGTCAGGGGTTCTGGTGCTAGGGCGGGGCTATATAGATCATGTAGTGAAAATGAATTATTTCTTTGAAAATCTTCTTCTCTACTCTTGGGTATTATTTAAACAAATTAAATACATTGTTATGATAAGCAAGAGTGACTCTACCAAAATTGTGAAATTCATAGCCCTAGGGTCAGGGGTTCTGGTGCTAGGGTGGGGCTATATAAATCATAAAGTGAAAGTGCATTATTTCTTTGAAAATCTTCTCTACTCCTGGGTATTATTTAAACAAATTAAATACATAGTAATGATAAGCAAGGATGCCTCTTCCAAAATTATGAATTTCATGGCCCCAATGTCAGGGGTTCTGGTGCTAGGGCGGGGCTATATAGATCATATAGTGAAAGTGCATTATTTCTTTGAAAATCTTCTTCTCGACTCCTGTGTATTATTTAAACAAATTAAATACATTGTTATGATAAGCAAGAGTGACTCTACCAATATTGTGAAATTCATAGCCCCAGGGTCAGGGGTTCTGGTGCTAGGGTGGGGCTATATAGATCATATAGTGAAAGTGCATTATTTCTTTGAAAATCTTCTTCTCTACTCCTGGGTATTATTTAAACAAATTAAATACAAAGGTATGATAAGCAAGAGTGTCTCTTCCAAAATTGTGAAATTCATAGCCCCAGGATCAGGGGTTCTGGTGCTAGGGCGGGGCTATATAGATCTTATAGTGAAGTGCATTATTTCTTTGAAAATTTTCTTCTCTACTCTTGGGTATTATTTAAACAAATTAAATACATAGTTATGATAAGCAAGGATGCCTCTTCCAAAATTAAGAATTTCATGGCCCCTGGATCAAGGGTTCTGGTGTTAGGGTGGGGTTCTATTTATTATAGAGTGAAAATCCATTTATGTTTAAAAATCTTCTTCTCTACTCTTGGGTATTATTTAAACAAACTACATGTAAGTACATTGTTATGATAAGCAAGGATGCCTCTTCCAAAATTGTGAAATTCATGGCCCAAGGATCAGGGGTTCTGGTGTAAGGGTGGGGCTATATAGATCCTATAGTGAAGGTGAATTATTTCTTTGATAATCTTCTTCTCTGCCCCTGGGTATTATTTTAACAAATTAAGTACATTGTTATGATACGCAAGGATGCCTCTTCAAAAATTGTGAATTTCATGGCCCCAGGGTCAAGGGTTCTGGTGAAAAGGGGGGCGGAGGCTCTATTGATTATATAGTGAAAAAGCAAAATTTCTTTGAAAATATTCTTTTCTGCTCCTGGTTAAAAAGCAAAGAAGCTAAGTGTATAGTTATGATGAGCAAGAGTGTTTCTTCCAGAGTAGTGAATTGCATGACCCCTGGGTCAGATGTGCTGGTGTAAGGGTGGGGCTCTTGAAAATATAGTGAAAATGCATTAATTCTATTAAATAATCCTGTCTGCTCTTAGTGTTAAGCAGATAAACAAATTGATTACTTATGATGGGCAAATTTCTGGTCCCAGGGTGAGAGGCTTTGGTGTTTCTCGCTGGGGAGGAGGGGGGCTCTATTGATAATATAGTGAATCTGTAATAAAAATGCATTATTTCTTTAAAAATCTTCTCTGCACCTGGGCATGTCAGGGGCAAAAAGAGTAAAAGTTTTAATAAGGAAGAGTATTTTTATCAGATTTTTGAACATCTGGACCATTTGGTCAAGTGTTCTGGTCCTGGCATATATTAATTTGTATTCTACTGAGAGGAATTATTCCCCTTTGCCATTTACTTTTGATAATTAATCACTGTAAATAATGTACTTAAAAGGTTAATAGAATAAGAAAATTATGCAAGAATTTTTATTGTATAATACAAAAAGTACTTTCATAATTTTAATGATCAGGTAGACTTGTAAGTAATAGATAAATAAAAATGAGACAAAAATAACTTGTCTTTTTAAATGTTCATCAAAGACCAAGAGAGGCCAATGTAAGAGATTTCAACTAGGAATTAAATTAGTACAGAAGCACTGATAGTTTGTTAATATACTGTATGGTGATAGAGATAAATGGGGAACAGATTAGAACCTAACTTATGAACTGTTAATAAATACTAGATTAATTATTTTGTTGATCCTGATCACCCTATTTTTCTTGCTTTTGGGCAACAAAGCTTCAGCTTTCAGTTCATTTTATACTCTATGGATCCTCTTAATTGTTGCATTATACTCAGGTGACCGTTAAGGCCCTTGGGCCTCTTGTTTTATAAAATATCATGTAGTGTAAATATATAATTCACAGACAATTATAAATAAATTTTGCAAAACAGGTGCGCCACATTTCATCGACTGTGACCGAGTCTACATACAATTTGAGAAAAAACTGCATCTCCAAAACGTTGAACAACATAATATACTGCATTTTGAACCAACATTGAATTATTTGCATGAAAGTTTTGATGTTGCTGTCTTGGAGTTGAAGACTGATCAAGACCAGGTTCCTCCACCTTTAACTTCTTTCAGCCACATGCAGTTTCCCTCCGAAGTTCATCTCATCGGCCATCCCGGTGGCGTACAGATGAAGGAAGACAGTGAAGTTTATCCATGTGTTATTGAACCAAACAACGATGCTGAAAACTACATTAAAGATTTGAGTGAATGGAGTGTGAATTATTTTCCTGACGGAGTTGATTACTACCAAGAATTGCGAGATCCCCCCAGGAAAATTCTTTTCCACACAACCTTTGACAAAGGGTCATCTGGATCTCCCGGCGTTGTCATTAAGAATCACAAATACTGTGTTGTTCTCATTGTTAGAGGTGGTACCCCAGCATGTTTTTACGAGAATAAATTTCCTAGTCTTAACGTTGAAGACCGCAAGAGAGTCGAGTATGGATATGCCATGGAAGATATTTTCAAAGAAATGTTTTTTTCTTCAAATCAACGCATCAAAGATTTAGCATCAGACATATTTAGAGAATGGGTATAGATATATAATGGGTAAATTAAGAAAATATATCACATTGAACAATGTTTATTTTAGAATTTTTCATTTCAGAAATTCTTTTAAAAAGAACTTTAGAATTCATTCGCAATATTCATATATTCCAACATCTTGAATAAAGTGTGACATACAGTACTGTACTTTCTACCATGGCAGTCATAATTACTAAATATCTCTAATTAAGGAAACCCGACGATATTTTTCCATGTTTTAAAACCAAGATAAGGTTGCATCATTACAGTAAAGTTATTGACTGTAGCCGAAGTTTGAGGACATCATTTTTGTCTTCAGGTCCAGCAAATCAAATGTTTCCTGAATCAATATCTCTGTCAGTAACTGAATACTTGTATACTCATAAAACATCTACTTGCTCATGACCAGTACATGTTTTTATTATATACCCAACTGTTTGTCACTCAGTTTTACTGTTGAATTTATGCAATCACGTGACGGTGTGATCCGACGTTCCGGATCACCACACTGTGGTTTTCTGAATCTATATCACCCCTCTCTGAAACTGATGACGTAGTACACAGATGAATGACGTTTTTTATTCTTGGGCATCATAAAGTTCCTTGACAAAATGGTTTGTTTAATGGACAAAAGTTATATAATTGATCAAAAAAGTTTCCTTTTATTATATTTTGCTAGTTGTAAAGGGGTATATAATAAATTTATCATTATAACAGTAACTTGATCCGAAGAGCCGTATCACGTCTTGTTGACAGGCGCGGATCATCAGATCAAACTCGACGCTTCGCGTCTCGTTTGATCTGATGATCTGCGCCTGTCAACTCGACGTGATACGGCTCTTCGGATCAAGTTACTGTTATAATAATATATATTTATTATATACCCAAGTGTGTATCACTCAGTTTTACTGTTGAATTTACGCAATCACGAGACGATGTGATCCGACGTTCCGGATCACCACACTGTTGTTTTCCGAGTCCATATCACCCCTTTCTGAAACTGATGACGTAGTACACAGATAAATGACGTTTTTATTCTGGCGCATCAAAAAGTTCCTTGACAAAATGGTTTGTTTAATGGATAAAAGTTATGTAATTGATCCAAAAAGTTTTCTTTTATTATATTTTGCTAGTTGTAACGGGGTATATAATAAATTTATCATTATAACAGTAACTTGATCCGAAGAGCCGTATCACGTCTCGTTGACAGGCGCGGATCATCAGATCAAACTCGACGCTTCGCGTCTCGTTTGATCTGATGATCCGCGCCTGTCAACTTGACGTGATACGGCTCTTCGGATCAAGTTACTGTTATAATAATATATATTTATATGGCCTATATGACATCAACACTTATTTGGTCTAATCAAACAAAATCACTTTGTCTCTTAGCACAGGAAATATAAGTTTGAAACAGTTTTAACACTGTTGTGTAGAATTCGTTTTGAACACTATATTGATATTTTCTTATTTTCAATCTTCTGAGAAATTGAGAGGCTTTTTCTTATGAAGGGAATGCCCGTAAGCATTAACTTCGGGTACTTCTTTCAAGCCAGAAGTTAAATATTTTTAATTAGCTATAACGGAAGCCAACCGATAAGTTGATGTTGGACCGATAAAAGCATGATAGCTGGACAAATATTGAACTCGATGGTCCGCTCCTCTCAAGATGTAAAAGGTGAAGATAACGAACAGTGAACAATCTCATAAATCCATTAAATAGAAATCGTGAAGAGGGAAAAAACATGGGCCCCTGGAAACACAAGAGGTGGGATCAGGGTGAATAAGCATCCCCTGTCGATCGGTCACACTCGCCATGAATCCTCCGTATTGATCAGTTAAACTAGGCAATTCTTAGTCAAAATGGTATAAAAACAATGGTCTTACAATTGGCGGGAATATATAGGTTGTTTCTGAAAACAAAGTCATTATATCGACCATAAAATTTGCGAAATATCGACATTAAGCAAAAAGGTTGAAAATCCCTTACATCAATTTATTAGTCAGTAGCCTCCCTCTGTTTAAAACTTGATCGTACTCAGAACAAATAGGCGATCTCATGAAAATTTAATGTACAATTTTCAATGTCATCATCATCATCATCATCAACAATATTACTGTAATTCTAACAGTGAAGCGACAATATGTGCAATGAAAGAAGCAACTTATTGTCGCCAGCGATAATATATACATGACATTGTATAATTTTGCAGCCTGCGACAATATGTACCGATGGACGGCAATATGTGCAGTAAGGGTAAGTAAACATTCTCACCGGAGACAATATGTACAGGACCACAATATGTACCGTCAAAATCGCGCTGCATCCTACGAGACACGTCTGTGTGATTTAAACACCAAGTACATTCACAAAACGACAAAAAATTTCTCAAGCAACCTTGTGACGGTACATATTGTCGTTTTGTACATTTTGTCGTCGGCGACAATATGTACCTACCCTCGCTGCACATATTGTCGTCCATCGGTCCATATTGTCGCCGGCGACAATATGTACCGAGACAAGCCTTATTTTCTTCCTGCATAATGGACGACAAAATGTACAGTCAAGCACCAGTACATATTGTCGTCGGCGACAATATGTACAGTCAAGGTCGGCATATATTGTCGTCGATATATTGTTTTGAGAAATATTTACTTGAGAAAGGAAAGAGAGATTGACAAACACACACACACACGCATGGAGGGAGACACGCAATACTGTAAGGAAAAACTTTTTGGTCAGAAAACTGTGTCCAGGATTGGTGTATATCACTATGATATGTCAAGATACCATAATCTTGAGATATCGGATAAATCAGCCTATTCTTTTTTCTTGTAATACATACTTGGAGATTGAACACATGTATTAGTTGTTTTTATTCAGTAGTAATGATTATTTGGAAATTATTTTTGCGTTATTCTTATACATGTATACAATCATGTGCCGATATAATTGGTGTTGGGGTTGACACTTTTAAATCACCTGAACTGGAAGTTCAAGTGAGCTTTTCTGATCACATTTTGTCTGACTGTCCCTCTGTAAACTTTTCACAATTTCAGCTTCTTCTCAAGAACTATTGGATCAATTTCAAGCAAACTTGCCACAAAGCGTCCGTTGATAAAGGGGATTCAAGTTTGTTCAAATGAAAGGCCATGTTCTCTTTCAAGGGAAGTAGTTAAGAATTAGTGAAAATTTAGTGGCATCTTTAAAAAATCTTCTCAAGAACCACTGTGTCAGATAAGTTGAAACTTAAGTGAAAGCTTTATTATGAAGTGTAGATTCAGTTTTATTCAGATCATCTCCCTCGGAGGATGGGTGTGGCTACAATTGGTGATCAAAGTTTTTCATAGAATATTTAGAAAAAACATTCTGTCAATTTCTTTTTTCAAATAATACTAGGTCAGAAGAGATGATACTTATGTGAAAGCTTCGTTACACAACGTTCAATTTTGAAGTGCTGGCACGAAAAAGATCCCTCACTACTCAATGACCCTAAGTGCCCAGTATAGGTTTAAATTTGCAGCCCTCCACCTGGAAGTGCATGCTTACGTCTACATACATGTACGAATAAAAAATTCTCGAAACGGACATTATAACAACAAACAAACAAACAAAAACAATTTTGTTCGAATCATGACCCCAGGGATAGGGTGGGGCTACAATTGGTGATCGAAGTTTTACATAGGAATATATACAAGAAATCTTTAAAAATCTTCTCAAAAACAAAACAGATGTAGCAACCACCCCCCCACCCCCCCTCCGCCCGGTGGTTTGATTTTTTTCTCCTTCAGTAAATTCTGTTTGTTTAACTTGTATATACTATCAATTTAGTCCATAGCTATAATTTTATAATTAAATAATTTACCTAATATATTCAGTAACCACCTTTACATACAAATGACTTTTTAAAATTTTTTGCTTGTCAATTCTGAACCGCCGGCATCCCCCCTTATTCTAAAATTACTGGATCCACCACTGACAACAGCAGTAGGCCCGTGATTAGTGATGTTTTTATGGAAGCATCCTCAGGTAGTGCAGACTAAAATATCTTCAAATCTAACCGGGCCTATAGGGTGGGAGGGTGGGGCCACAATTGGCGATCGAAGTTTTACATAGAAATATATGGGAAAATTCTGTAAAAAGTATCTTCTCGAAAACAGTAAAGCAATGATTAGTAATATTTATATGGATTGATTGATTGATTATTATTGTTTAACGCAGAGTCGGCAATATATCAGCCATATGTCAGCGATCAAAGTAAGTATATGTGGCCATTTTTGAAGTTTTTGGTTTCTCTGGCCATATTCATTTGGAGCATTGCCGTGTATTATCATGCGACATGTTCTGATTGACGACAATATGCGCACTGTGGGTAGATTGACATTGTCGCCGGCGACAATATGAACAGGACGACAAAATGTACCGTCACAATCACACTACATGAAATAGCATACAAGACACGTCAGTGTGATTCAAACACCAATTACATTCACAAAAATACGAAAAAACAACAAAAGAAATCTTTAAGCAACAATATCTGTGGGGCGACAATATGTACAGTGAGGGTGAGGCACATAATGTCGCCAGCGACAATATGTACATAATAACTATGTAACTTTTTAGCCGACGACAATATGTACCGATGGAGGACAATATGTGCAGTGAGGGTATGTACATATTGTCGTCGACGACAATATGTACAAAACGACAATATGTACCGTCACAAACCTTAATATGGGATGACAATTTGTGCAGTGAGGGTTGGCACATAATGTTGCCAGGAGCAATATGTACATGTATAATTTATCAACCTGCGCCAATATGTGTCGATGGACGACAATATGTGCAGTAAGGATAGTTGCACATTGTCATTGACGACAATATGTACAAAACGAAAAATATGCTGCATCATCAATGTTTAAAAGACAATTGTGCAAACAGAAAAATGATTGTCTTTTAGTGAAGATGATCTCGCATATAAATTTCGGTATCGTCTTCATCATCCATATTATTGGAAGCCCTAAAAGTTGGGCGATAATATGTGCTGTGAGGGTAGGCTCATAATGTCGCCGGCGTCAATATGCACACGTTTAATTTTGCAGCCGACGAAAACATTTGTGCCGATGGACAATAATATGTGCAGTAA